TTTTTGACTGGTTCTGATTAAGAAAAACCAAGTTTTCTAAGCTGGGACATGACCTGTTTGGGCTGTCAATTAGGAAATTAATAAAACATACTAGAGTTAGGAACCGTCCTTAAGGGCTAATTAACTTGCTTTTTTGCTTGTCTAATGTCTCCCATTTCCCGACCAAATGATATACATAATTTTTTTTTTTTTAAATGCTTGTTTCTTAGTATTAAAACTAACTTATTATTCCTAGTTTAAGAAAAAAAAAAATTCCCTCAAAGAATGCAGACAACTGTCCTATTGCTGTACATGTGTTGGGGAGTACTATTAGTTTTTTTTTTTTTTTTAATCTCAAAGGATTATTTTATCATCTCAATATCTATACCAACCAATCTGAAAACAGCCTAAACGTCAAAATAATAAAAATAAAATAAAAAATATTGTATAATTTAAATTACATAACTTAAAACCATTACATAAAAGATAAATTAGTCTCTTTAATATTAGAAGCTATTTTCTTATCTAACAATTCTTATTTTACAATTTTGATGTAGTTGAACAACAAAATTGAAAACTCTGAAAAAAAACTCTCCTACATCTCCTTTTCTCTTTCTCATATCAATGTTGGAATCTAAATTTTTGAACTTTTTTTAAGGGACTAGTTATCACAAAATTTTATCAAAAATTAATTGAGACAAACAATTAAATTAAACTGTAGTGATTTTTATACATAAGAGAGTTAGATGTTGGTAGCACAGAAACTTAAATTTTTTATTTTGACTTCAAATTAAAAATTTTAAATTAGTGAATATTAATTCAATTAAATTTTTGTTGGTGTAGTTATATCATATACAACTTTTTCATATAACTTTATATATTATTATTTAATAATTACCTTTTTTTACTTTATTAAAACTTATAATATTATATATATCTAATCATTTTGTGATATTGAAATTGTTTAAATAAGTTGTTTGCATATCCTTACCTTTATATCATTTTTGTTCATGAAAAAAAAAATATCAGAATGTTCCTAGCTAGTTACATTAATTGAAAATCCTAATTACAATATTTTCTACTATATAATAAATCAAAAACCACATTAATAAAATTATTATTTATTAATCTATGATGATTACAGAACTAGTAAATCAAACACATATTATGATTCATACATTAGACTCTTAACACTTTGATATTTTATTTAATATATAATTTTTCAACAACCAAACCATGGTTGTTTTACAAGAAAATAAAATTAATGGAAAAATACTGAAAAAAAAAAAGAAGAAAGATTGAGAGGGTTTTTGTTTTTTATTACAGGTATAACTTAACTACGAAAACCCAACTCCATGCATGCCATATATTGCCATGCAAAATCCAGTGTGATTAATTTCTTATTTCTTCATGAAAGCAGCAGCTATATTATCGATGGCAGCCTTGCTAACAGATGGGAAGGGGGGTGGCGGAGAGCGGCGGCGGACACGACCGGCGAAGTCCATCCCATTATTCATCTTGCACGGACCGCTGGCACCACCGGTGTACCCGCAAGGCGAACCACCATTGCTCTCCTGCGTCTTGCTTGACAAAGACTCCCAATTGGGAACATATTTCGTTAGCAGCTGGTAATTATTCCCATGCAAAGGCCTCATGGCTGCACCAAATTGTCCCGAGGATGAAATTAGAATTGCTAAAACAATCAGAAACTTGAAGAGAATTTTTGTTTTCTGTAACCCCATTTTGCAAAACCCCAAAATAAATCGATTAAGGAATTTGGTTGATGATGAGAACGGAGAAAGATATTGAAATATGATGGGATGAGTTTTGGTGGTGATTTTGGTTCCATAGGAGAGGGTTTATATAGTTGAGGGGGCAGCAACATTTGGTTTATTAAAGTAAAAAAAGTAATTATTGTAATTTTTGACTGGCTAAATTGAAAATGGAGTCTACAGTCTTGACCTGGCCAAGGGAGGAAAGAAGGACGAAAATGGGTAATGTGAATCACCGACTTGGAATACTTGACCCTTTTTCTTTTTCGATTTTTTTCCCTTTTTTTTTTCTTTTTTCTTTTTTTTTTTGGCAAAACTCAGTTAAAGTCCTTAAACTTACCACATATTAACGTGTAAGACCCTGAACTAAAAAACCAGCATTTAAACCCTGCAAATTAGTCCTCCCTATAACTTCTTCGATTAAAGACTTCTAATGTTGCTGCGAAAGCACATAAAAATAATTTTTTATTTTTAGTATATCAAATAATGAGTTATACAATAGCAAATATCCATCTATTTTCCTTATCCCTTCCACCTGCTTTAAAATTCAAATTTAACATCTTCAATTTAAAATTTAACATCTTCAATTTAAAATCTTAAATTTTTAATGACTTGAGAGTAGCACAATAGAAGAAATGGCTAATTAAATGTAGTCTTTAAATTAATCAAATCAAATTTTTTAAAAAATAATTGTGAACTTTGACGAAACATTAAAAGTGGACTAATTTCTCCATTTCTAACTTTCTTTAATGAGTTAGGATTAACTTATACAAATGTAAGTGTTACATTAATTTTTAATTACTCATTTCAAAATTTCAACTATTAATGTAACACTTGAATTTCTAAAACAGTTTCCTAAAAGTGGCTGAAAATTGTTGTACATGTTTCTTAAATTTACATCTGTGTAAGTAATGTGTAAGTAAATTTTAACTGTTTTTTAATTGTTAATTGCATTTCCACATTTATTAACCAACTAAATTATATAAATTAATTAAAATAGTACAACTCTAAGGGTTTTCTAATTAATTGATCCCCAATTTTTTTTATTTTTAATTAAAATTAAAAAAAAATTAACCTTTATTATGAAAAGCTCTAAGTTGAAAACAATATGAAATTTGCCTTCATTATCTCAAACTTTTATGCATTCTTGCGGACCTACACCATTCCGAGAAGGAGACACATAAAACCAAAATTTTCGCACCACATTAAACTAAAATCCCTATAACATTACCCTACACTAAAATCCACATTAATATGATGATTGTTATTTGTTAATATGATGATTATAGAAGAATTAATATAATGAATCAATCACATATATTCTAATTGATGCATTACACTCTTAATATTTTGATATTCCCAATCTTTGTATAATTTTTAAACAATCATAGGTCTTAATCATGGTTGTTTTACAAGAAAAATTTTGGGGAAAATTTTTGGGGAAAATTTTTGGAAAAAAAAAGTTGAAAGAGAGTAGCTAGTGCCAATTCTTCTGTTTATTACTGTAATAACTTGACCATTCGTACCCAAAAAAACCAAAACTTTACTATAAAAACCCTAGCTACTCCTTGCATGCCATTGCCATGGAAAAAGGAAGGCGGTGGAGAGCAGAGGAGACCGCCAGTAAAGTTCATCCCGTTCAACAGCAATGACCGGTGCCACCGGGGATGTATGAGCAAGGCGAACCACCAGAGGGCGTCTACGGTGTCCCCTTTGCTAAAAAGACTCCCAATTGGGAACATGTTTCTTCAGCAGCTGATAATTATCCCCATGCAGAGGCCACATGGCTCCACCAAATTGTGCCGACGATGAAATTAGAATAGCTGAAACAATCAGAAACTTGAAGAGAATTTTTGTTTTCTGTAACCCCATTTTGGCAAAACCCCAAAATAAATCGATCAAGGAATTTGGTTGATGATGAGAACTGAGAAAGAAATTGAAATATGATGGGATGAGTTTTGGTAGTGACTTTGGTTTGTTTATATAATGGAGGGGGCAGGAAAATTCGCTTATTACATTAAAAAAAAAATGTAATTTTAGAAATATTTAGGTAATAATTTTGGTAATAATTAATGTAATTTTCTTTAATGGGTTCATATTTTTGTTTGGATTCAATTAATCAATGTTTTAAAATATCAATTAATCAACCTCTGCTTTTACTCAACTCTGAAATTAATATTTGGTTATTCAAAGGGTGGGGTTATTATTACATTCTAACTAATTAATGCTATACTTTTTAATATAATTATCTATTATATTCATACATTACATTTTTTTTTTTCAAAATTTTACATTTTTTTATTTCTTAATAAATTAAAGAGTATAATGGTTAATTACAATAAAAATGTGTAATATTAGTTTTTGAAGGTGTGACAATCAATATAAAATTTTAATTGATTTATTTGATGTAATTAGACAATCAATATAAAAATTTAATTAATAATTAAAGAAATTTAGAATTAGGAGAAATTAGGCAATTTTTACAAATATATTTTGTTTCTTTTACGGTGTTTTAACTGCAACATTAGATATTTTTAATAGAAGATGTTATACTGAGGACTAATTTGCTTCGGTTGTAGAATTTTGGGGTTTAAATGATTCGTTGTCTAGTTTGGGGTCTTACATGTCGATATGGGGTAAGTTTAGAGGCTCAATACTGGTTTTTCCGCGTTTTTTCCGTGGACAACACAGTTTGAAAACCTACAGCTTACAATTTGGGGAATGGAAATTAATTGAAAAATGGTTGTTAAATAATTCTTTTATATAATTTTATATGTTATTAAATAATTTGACTCTTTTTATTTTAATTAGATTTGTGATATTGTATATATTTACTTATTTAATTTAATAATATATAGTCAACGTTCTAAATAACTTAGTAGTCATTTTTTTTTTTTTGTTGAAAGTAAGAGATTCTGAATTTGAATTGCATGACATGCAAGTGGAGTGAGATAAGGGATGAGAAATAATTGCCTCTCATTGTGCAATTAAGATAAATAATAACAATAATAATAATAATTTATTAATATATAAAAACTGCAAATAAAAGTTATGTAAAAATATTGTCTATGTACATATTATTAATTACCCATGATAACTATACGAAAGGTGCACTCTCTATTCTCTAACCAGCTAGGCAGAGGGATATTAAAAAGATGAACGTTTTTTCACGGCGGAAATGGTTGTTGTAAGGATTTATACTCAACAAACCCTATAACAAATTAACCTGTTTAAAATTAAGATATATATATATATATAACTGCATCCTAATAAAGCTTAATAAGTATAAAATCAATAAAAATCATTATAACACCAAAAGGTTTGATCTAATGATAAGTGTCGTATTATATTTTGGGTTTAATTTTTGAGATTAGTATTTGAAAAAATTAATTTTTTAAAATCATCACACCAATATTGATAATATGTTCTTAAAATCACTTGAGAAATGATTAATATTTAAGTATGCAAAAGTTAATATAAAGACACTTATTTGTTTAAAATTTAAAATAATAATAATTATCATATTTTACTCTTTTTTTTTTATTACGTGAGGTGCATATTACATATTACAATATTCTATTCAACGACGTGTATTTTAAACTTAGAGAATCGAAGATCGGCAAACAAGTTTGGAGTAAAATATATATCACTGTTTGTTCTATATGTGAATTTCTCGTGGCGTTTTGTTCAAGCTTAGGACTAGTAAGATGGAAATTTGAAACTTACATACATACATGCATTCTATTATTATTCAAGGAAAAGGAAAAGAGATGAGGAAGCTGCCGCCAGTAGCGTAGAGAATGGGTACTGACTTTGATCTCGCAGTCAATCTAAATGGTCCAACACGCAGTCCAGTTCTCCACAACGTTTCACCTCATGACTCAACTCCTTGCTCGAAGCCTCACAGCATCTTCTTCGGCCGACTCCAATAATTTTTAATTTTTAAACCATAATGCTGTAATTATAATAATTCATAAAAGTATTAATAATTTATTATTTCGAGTGAAAAGGGTTTTATTAAATAAGATTTTTAGTTTTAGTGAATGAAGAGATAAATGTTAAGAGAGAACTTCCACCATATATGATTTGATCTAATTCAATTCTAAATTAATCCATAGTCAATATGACTTTCAAATATTGATAGTTTAATAAATAAAATATTATGTAAGAATAAAATTACTATATGTTTAGAATAATGATATATTATTACATGAGTCATATAATATTATAGGTGAATTTCAAAATAAAAATATAATCATATAATAACATATCATTGTTATAAATTTATTTTATCATGTGACATTGCAATTACATTATTTTTTATTTTTAGCATATAAATCAACACATGTTTTTTTTTTTAGGAAAATGCTAGGTGTACAACTTTAATGTTTGTGTACAACATAACCTGTCATTAAATTTATGTACAACCTGAAAGTTCTGGTTCAAGCTATCGTGAATGCATATTTTCTTCATATTTTTTCTAATTTGTGGCATATCATGCGTAAGTTGTAATATCTGTACTATTAAACTTATATATTCTTTCTGCACCATACGAGAGCTTTGCGATCATGAGCCTTTTCTCATTTCTGACTTCTTATTTTTCCAAGGACTTGCTATTGTCAATTTTGCAGTATCATCAAGATTTGAGCTCATCAGAATGCACATGAATACGAAATTGGAGTAAAAGATAGAATTTCAAAAATATTATAATTAAAATATCACGTGATATTATAAATTTACAACATAACATGTTGCTATATAATAAATTTTTTTCATTCAGAATTTACTTGTAATATTGTATATATTTATTCATTTAATATTTCATTATTTTCATTTAATGTCAAATTATATAACAAAGTGTTTGATAATTTTGGTTGATATCGACCCGTAAAAGATAAGCACATAAAGAAAATTCATCCAGGGAAGATCTTTCGGCATTAATTAATGTGGAATGGTTTTAGATTTTTTGTTCTAATTTGGAATTCTTGATCGTTATGATGCCAGCTCCATTCCACGTCTTCATCATTCATTTTCATTCCAAGGGACATATATATACAAAGTCATGATCCTGACAAAAGGTATATATTTGGATTGGGATCAATCCTTTCTCCACCAAATTTAATATTGGTTTCCTCCTCTTTCTGGTGCACCGACGATCCATATGCATGGAAATTCCAATGCATCCTCGATTTGGTCACTTTTACAGTTACATATTAACATAAATTATATCACAAAATTGGAAAGTATTAAGTTTCCTAGAATCAAGAGACTTCACAATTAAGACAATCAATATTTAATTCTTAAATCAAAATTCAATTTTACATTAATGTAATCTCAATCACCCAAATCCCTCTATTATTGTTATTTTGTCCATTATTAATAGGAAAAAGTATTTATCAATTAAACCTCTAAATAATTCAGAGAAAAAAAAAAGTCTTAACATTACATTGTTCTAAAAAACTCTCGTTAAAAAAATTAAAATAATATATTTTCAAAATAAGAATGAGACTATTTTGATCTTTTTCTATTCTATTTTATTAAAATGATATAGTTTTGTAATATTTTTCCTCATAATTTTTTAGAACTTAGGGCTTATTTAGTACAATAATTAAATTCAGCGAGTAACAACTGGTGGATAGTGGTAGTGAATAGCTAGTTATAGTAGATAGTGGGTGGCAATTAGCGAATATTAAGTAAGAGATAGCAGAAAACGGGTAACGGATAATAGATAACAAATCTGACTAATATAATTATTTGGTTATACAATAGTTAGTGCCAGTGGTTGTTGTTTAAAATTAAATAACTTGTAAAGATATATTTAAAAATAATTAAGTGTAGTTTTTTCTTTTCATATTTTTTTATTATTAAATTATTAATTTTATAAAAATAAATAAATAAATAAAGTATAATAGTATAATCAAACATTAATTTTTATTTTTAATAAAGAACAAATTATTTTAGTTTTAAATAAAGTACAAAAAATTTTAATTTTTTTGTGTAATTAGCAAATTTTGTTTATTAAGTTAATATATATTTTCTATGATAAATTAATAGAAAACTAAAAATATAATAATTACTTAATACTATTAAAGATAAAAAATAAAATTAAAACTAATTAAATAAGTATTAATTAAAAACGTTAGTCAAAAATTAAAAAAATTAAAAAGGATAAATTTGTCAATAAGATTAAAAAATTCCATTCTGCTAGCAATTTGGTATAAAAAGTTACCTTAGATAGTTTTCTCAATTTGTTAGCGATTTGAACCTTAACCAATATCCATTAGTCTTAAACCATTAAATAAAAAGTTTTACCAAACACTTAGTTTGTAACAGGTTTCAAAATAAATAAATTTGCCAAACATTTATTTTTAATAATTTGGGTAAAATCACTCACTGCTACTTTTAAATCGTTATACTAAATGGGTCATTAAATTGATAAACACTAATCTCTTATAAATATATGTATTTTGTGTATATATATATTCATTATCAAGTCAAGTAATTCTATTGTAGCCCACATGTTTTTATCGTGGATGTAGGTCATCACCTAGTTGGCTAAATCTCATCTATCTTGCTTCTTTTATGTTAATTTTTTTTTATATTAACTTTTCGGTATTTAGTAATCACATT